TATATATAGGCTAAAGGGTCAAATAGGTACATGAACTAACTTAAAGTGTTCAATTAGCCCCTTATATAGGAGGTTCTGCACGGCCGTCGCCAATTGGGACGGTTCCCGGTGGAATTTTTTGATGAAATTTTTTGAGCATCTTCTTCATTAAGTCTAGTTTACCCGTACCAAATTTCAGCTAAACATTCAACCGGGAAGGCAATGAAATGATTTTTTGAAGATAACTATGCAGTTAAACAGCGCAGTACATTTCGGAAAATCAATTGACTGCCTTTCCGATTTAATTTTTAGCTGAAATTTGATATGGGTAAACTAGACTTAATGAAGAAGATGATCAAAAAATTTCATCAAAAAATTCAACTGGGAACTACCCCAATTGGTGACGGCCGGGCAGAACCTCCTAGATAAGGGGCTAATTGAACACTTTAAGTTAGTTCATGTACCTATTTGACCCTTTAGCCTATATATATATATATATATATATATAGAGTCCTGATCCTGTCCAGACGTCCGGACAGGAACCGCCGTCCGGCCGGCGGCGTTTGGCCGCCTTCCCGGTGGAATTTTTTGATGAAATTTTTATGGCATGTTCTCCATCAAGTCTAGTTTATCCACAAAAAAATTCAGCCAAAAACTCAATCGGGAAGGTCGTCAAATGATTTTTGCAAGTTAACTGGTCCGGAATATGTGTATATTCCGGACCAGTTAACTTGCAAAAATCATTTGACGACCTTCCCGATTGAGTTTTTGGCTGAATTTTTTTGTGGATAAACTAGACTTGATGGAGAACATGCCATAAAAATTTCATCAAAAAATTCCACCAGGAAGGCGGCCAAACGCCGCCGGCCGGACGGCGGTTCCTGTCCGGACGTCCGGACAGGATCATTTGTGTATATATATATATATATATATATATATATATATATATATATATATATATATATACTCCCTCCGTCCCAGGGAGAAGTTCCCACTTTCCTTTTTCGGTAGTCCCAACAAAAAGTTCCCATTTCCCTAAATGGAAAGTTATCCTACATCAAAACAGTGTCAAACAGTGCAAAACAGTGCCAAACAGTGTCGAAACAGTGCCAAACAGTGTCGAAACAGTGCCAAACAGTAAAATTTACCCCTCAGTAACTTTATTTCCTAAATATGTGTGAAAGTCAACCCGGGAACTTCTCCCTGGGACGGAGGGAGTATATATATATATATATATATATATATATATATATATATATATATATATATAGAGTGCTCTTCATGTCAGGCCGGCCTGACGGGCTGCCCCGTCCGGCCGAGCCCGTTTGGGCACCTTCCCGGTGGAATTTTTTGATGAAATTTTTTGAGCATGTTCCTCGTCAAGTCTAGTTTGTCCATACCAAATTTCATCTCAAAATTCGATCGGGAAGGTCGTCAAATGATTTTTGCAAGTTAACTGGTCCGGAAAATACATATTCCGGACCAGTTAACTTGCAAAAATCATTTGACGACCTTCCCGATTTAATTTTTAGCTGAAATTTGGTATGGACAAACTAGACTTGATGAAGAACATGCTCAAAAAATTTCATCAAAAAATTCCACCGGGAAGGTGCCCAAACGGGCTCGGCCGGACGGGGCAGCCCGTCAGGCCGGCCTGACATGAAGTTTTCTCTATATATATATATATATATATATAGAGGGCTCTTCTCATCAGGCCGGCCTGACGGGCTGCCCCGTCCGGCCGAGCCCGTTTGGGCACCTTCCCGGTGGAATTTTTTGATGAAATTTTTTGAGCATGTTCCTCATCAAGTCTAGTTTGTCCATACCAAATTTCAGCTCAAAATTCGATCGGGAAGGTCGTCAAATGATTTTTGCAAGTTAACTGGTCCGGAAAATACATATTCCGGACCAGTTAACTTGCAAAAATCATTTGACGACCTTCCCGATTGAATTTTGAGCTGAAATTTGGTATGGACAAACTAGACTTGACTAGGAACATGCTCAAAAAATTTCATCAAAAAATTCCACCGGGAAGGTGCCCAAACGGGCTCGGCCGGACGGGGCAGCCCGTCAGGCCGGCCTGACATGAAGTTTCCTCTATATATATATATATAGAGGAATGTTCATGTCAGGCCGGCCTGACGGGCTGCCCCGTCCGGCCGAGCCCGTTTGGGCACCTTCCCGGTGGAATTTTTTGATGAAATTTTTTGAGCATGTTCCTCATCAAGTCTAGTTTGTCCATACCAAATTTCAGCTCAAAATTCGATCGGGAAGGTCGTCAAATGATTTTTGCAAGTTAACTGGTCCGGAATATGTATTTTCCGGACCAGTTAACTTGCAAAAATCATTTGACGACCTTCCCGATCGAATTTTGAGCTGAAATTTGGTATGGACAAACTAGACTTGATGAGGAACATGCTCAAAAAATTTCATCAAAAAATTCCACCGGGAAGGTGCCCAAACGGGCTCGGCCGGACGGGGCAGCCCGTCAGGCCGGCCTGATGAGAACAGCCCTCTATATATATATATATATATATATGTATATATATATATATAGAGAAAACTTCATGTCAGGCCGGCCTGACGGGCTGCCCCGTCCGGCCGAGCCCGTTTGGGAACCTTCCCGGTGGAATTTTTTGATGAAATTTTTTGAGCATGTTCCTCATCAAGTCTAGTTTGTCCATACCAAATTTCAGCTCAAAATTCGATCGGGAAGGTCGTCAAATGATTTTTGCAAGTTAACTGGTCCGGAATATGTATTTTCCGGACCAGTTAACTTGCAAAAATCATTTGACGACCTTCCCGATCGAATTTTGAGCTGAAATTTGGTATGGACAAACTAGACTTGACGAGGAACATGCTCAAAAAATTTCATCAAAAAATTCCACCGGGAAGGTGCCCAAACGGGCTCGGCCGGACGGGGCAGCCCGTCAGGCCGGCCTGACATGAAGAGCACTCTATATATATATATGTATATATATGTGTGAAAGTCAACCCGGGAACTTCTCCCTGGGACGGAGGGAGTATATATATATATGTGTGAAAGTCAACCCGGGAACTTCTCCCTGGGACGGAGGGAGTATGTATATATATATATATATATATATATATATATATATATATATATATGTATATATATATATATATGTATATATATGTATATATATATATATATATATACACACACACACATACACACATACATATATGTATAGAGGAATGATCCTGTCCAGCCGGGGGGACAGGATCCTCCGTCCGGCCGCCACCGTTTAGGGCGGTTTCCGGTGGAGTTTTTTGATGAAATTTTTATGGAACGATCCTCATCAAGTCTAGTTTATCCACAAAAAATTTCAGCTAGAAATTTGATCAAGCCCCTCTTGATGTCCTCAGAAGTGGACCACCACGTTTATGAAATGCACTGTATACACGAAAATAAGACCTACTTAACTCCTTCCACACTTTATATATATGGTAGATTTCTATATGGAAAACTTAGTGAACTCAAATTAGGAAGTAAGGGACACTTTACCTAATAGCAAATATACACATATCAGAATGTTTTGCAGCTTCTAATTTCATTTTGGAGTCGAATGACAGCCAACCATTTTAGTTCATAGGCCGAATGGCCCACATCTCTAACAACCTAACAACATCATGACCCCAAAACAAAAAGAAAGAATTATGGGAAACTCAACACTTCTCTTACTTTTAAAATAAGTAAGACTTTTTCAAAAAAGTTTATTTTGTATATTTTTTATAGAAATATATTAAACCTTTGAAAGAACAAAAAACTTTTTTTCATTCAAATTATTTATACCAAATTAACCCAAGAATTAGATGTGAGATGTAATAGCAAATTAATTTAAGAATTTGAAACTAAAATACCTAAAATATCAGATTCAAACCTAAATTAGTCTAACAATCAAAATAGTGATGTCAAATTAACAACATGATTCTGGAAAAATTGATTTTTTTTACCAATGAAACCTCAATGTATTAATACTTTGGTAGTTTATTTATTTTGACCATGAAAAGTTTATGTAAAAATGATCACACGATGGTTAACTAAATACAAATTGATAAATTCTCACAGTTTTCTAATTACCAGTAAAAGTTAGTTAGTTAAACATCCATCATTATAGTTGGAGTCCACAATAGTTGTTCAAGGCTCAGATTTAAAGATGCATGTTGTCATGTTTTATCTACAAAGCTACCTGTCAGATCCATGTTCGTTGTTCAAGGCTCAGATTTAAAGATCCATGTTCGTTGAACTGGGTCAGAAAAGGGGGAATTTCATCATCATAGCCTCAAGTATCTGGAAGCATAGCAATATAAGAGAACTGGTGTTAATCAAAACATTGTTTTTTCACAAACAATATCACAACAATGATATTCTCAAAACCTACCAAAGAGGCGAATAGCAAACAAAGAATAGTGAGTTTATATGTAAGGACTATTTAGAAGAATGAGTCTAAAGTGATGTGATGAACTAATCAAGCATATATCGTAACATTTCTATGTACGAGCAATAATGGCCTGATTGGCTTCTTCCACAGCAGACTCCCTTTTGTGTGCATGGGAGATGTGACAGACAATGTCAAATTTTGTTTGAAATTATTTAGACTACGAAAAAGTACAATTAATGTGATAGCTACAATTGTGTCGTTTATGAACATGCTTAAAACCTGGTTCCATAATGTTTATCATACGATATGAACATACATGCGGTTTAGACATTTAATCTCCTTCCTTTTGTTTATGGGACAAATCAGAATCTGAAAACTGAAGATGAAAATCATACTAATGATGCATTTGTATTGATTGTACATTGATATGGAAAAGAAAAAAAAATAATGGGTGCTTTCCGGGTCATGTTTATAGCATCGCTTACAGTTTTTCACAATATAATATGACTGTATTGGAGATATATAATGATTTCTCTAAAAAAAATACTCTTTCCATTCATTAAGAAGATAGAAATAAATCAGAAAAAAAAAAAAGAATACATGTGAGAATGAGTATATAACTGTCAGTTATAAGATCCCTGCCTACCTACTACTAGACCCTGCTGAGAAGCTACGCCTAGGCATCTGGTCTTCATCATCCACCTACAGTTTTTTTAGGGCTCCTCAAAACATTGCATTATCTCACTGTTTAAAAACTCTTTTCATATGCAGAGTTCATTCCATTCCCCAGAGTTACTTCAACTTTAATGGGAATCTGTAGAGACGGTGAATCTGTGTCTTCGATTAACCCTGAATTTAACTTCACTCTGATATTCTTGTTTGCAAATCTTAACGGCTACATATCAATTGAGGTTGTTAACCGAGTTGTTTTACATACTTCATGCATTGAATTCTGTATGCTGATCTAGGATTTTGATATGTTAGGACCAAAGGACATTCTAATCACAGTAAGAACTCCTAGGAGGTAATCTGGGGTGGAATGACCTGGTTTTGTAAATCAATACACTTCCCAAGCCAGCAGATGTGATAGATGTCACACAACCAAACGGTTAATCTGAGTAGCTACACTATTATATTGAATAACCAGGTACCTCTATTTCATTTCATTTGATTTTGGGGCTGTGTGAAAAACTTCTTTGAATTTTGTGCCACATCTGCCTCTATAATAGCTTCTAGCACAATGTCAGATCCCTTTGCTTCAGCTAGAGCAAGCAATTCAAGAAAAGGTGAACATTTACTACTGCCTCTATTTGATTTATTGTGAACAGTTTGATGATGAGGTATGTAGAAATATATATATATATATATATATATATATATATATGTTAAAAGAGGTGCTGTTCGTTATGCAGCCTCGTGCATAAAAAGTTGCTTGAAGTCAAAGATGTAGCTCATCATCAATAAAGCATCCCCCAAGGTATAGCTCTATCAGAGGGCAGGATGTACTGACTTAAGGTCATGCCCAGATTGAAGGGTAAGTTCATGCGGTCATGCCACTGCCTAAACATTAAGGGAAAATTCATGCAACCTCCCTGAGCAACAACCCACAACTTAAATCCTCCTCCAATCCCAGTACATCAAAAGAGATGCACAATTCAGACAAAAAAAAAAGCTACTATTTAATACGACATTAGAGTAGACAAGGTATGCTATCCCCCCATACCCTAGGAATCAGATGCCTCTCCACTAGCTCCCCCTCCCCTATGAAAACCACCAACTCCTAAAAATAGAGAAAAGAAACAACAACAACAACAACAACAACAACAACATCCGAGACTTGGTCCCGAAAGGGTTTGGGGTCAGCTAACATGAAATTGGAACTTAAAGAGATGAAAAAGATAAAAAGATAAACAAAGATAAGATAAATATAAAAAAAGATAAGATAAAAAAGATCAATAGGATAAAAATATAAAAAAGATAAAAATAGAAAATAATATCAGCAACAGCATTACCCCAGTGACGCAAAGGCTCCCACCTACGGAGGGGTAAGGGGGTCAGATGTACACAGCCTAACCCCTGTGCTAAAGCAGGGGGAGACTGTTTCGAGATGACCCATGGTAAAAATAGAAAAAACCCGGCCTCTAGAACTAGTCCATATAAATAAGCAAACAAAACTAACTATGTCACTGAAAAAGTCAATTTAACAAAAGTACACCCGATTAATTTCATTGAGGTACAACTACTTGAAATAGAAAAATTCAGCTATGTTTTTAAAAATTATTTATTGCTTTATATAGATTTAACATTCTTAACTTGTTTGGGGATATAATAAAAGAATACATTCATTATAATAAAAAGGCTAAAGGGTCAAATAGGTACATGAACTGACTTAAAGTGTTCAATTAGCCCCTTATATATGAGTTTCTGCCCGGACGTCGCCAATTGGAGCGGTTCCCGGTGGAATTCTTTGATGATTATTTTTGAAAATCTTCTTCATTAAGTCTAGTTTACCCATGCCAAATTTCAGCTAAAAATTCAACCGGGAAGGCAGTCTAATGATTTTCCGAAATGTACTGCGCTGTTTAATTTTTTGGAAAATCATTCGACTGCCTTCCCGGTTGAATTTTTAGCTGAAATTTGGTATGGGTAAACTAGACTTAATGAAGAAGATGCTCAAAAAAATTCATCAAAAAATTCCACCGGGAACCGCCCCAATTGGCGACGTCCAGGCAGAAACTCCTATATAAGGGGTTAATTGAACACATTGGGTTAGTTCATGTACCTATTTGACCCTTTAGCCTAATAAAAATCAGCTTCTTTTGTGACAGCAAGATAAGTTTTCAAACAAACTAATATTTTTGGACAGAGAGGGCAGGAAAAAAGATGATATATACCTGTATGATCAGGCAATAGACCTGCACTTTTAGCAGAGACTGGAAGCACAAGATTACCAGACTTATCAGGAACCTCATTCAGAGCTTCGCAGTTTTCATACTTGGGTTTTGATAATGTGATTTCAGCAAGTTTTGCATATGCTGTTGCTTGACTGTTCATATCAGAAGAGGTTGAGGGCTTAAAGTTACAATCCTGCAAGTACAGCTACATCAATCCTTTAATTGGAAAATGATATGAAAACTTGGTACTCCAAGTGAATATATAGAGATGGCAAGTACCTTGGGTGTATTACTGATAGTTGTGCCCTTACTTTCAGACTTTTCAGGTCCATTTTCCATCGATGTACCAGCACCAGCAGTGGGTGAGTGATTTTTTATGTTATCAACTAGCCTTGTGGTTAATGGACCCGGATTCACAAAAGAAATGGTTCGGATTCCATGTTGTATGGCTTCTAATTGAGCAATTGTATCTTGTAGCTCTTTGTGGACCTTTAAGATAAATGCCAGAGAAAAGATCATTGCCGCCATACACAAGTATGCCCGGTATGAGAAAAAGATACTGGAGTATACATCTATATCGAATGATGATTACTATATACTACATATAAGTTAAAAGAAGAGTAAAAACCTACAGAAATAGGTGAAGGAAGATAAAAAGAAACCTGTCGAGCTTGAGTTTGCTGCATGACACTCTCAAATTGACCACGGGCCATTTGAACATAGCCAATAGCACGGCCAGATAACCTCCCAGCAGTTCTTGCTATGACTGGAAGGTCCTTAGGTCCTGACAAATCAAAACCCTGCCTCAGCATATATAACTCAACACATGAAGGATATAATCAATCTCATACTGAGAAGCAAGTTTTGGGAATAGGAAACAGGATTATCAGAACTATAGTGAAAAACCTGGTGAATCGAAGACAGTTTACACCGCCATTACAGAGGAAGAGTACCAATTAAAGCCGCAGTAGCTCCAAGCAATAAAAACAACTCTCCGTATGAAAACCCTAGCATGTCTTTATGTCTCTAGTTTGAACAAAGAATTAATGGGAGCTGGAGTCAATAGATCTCGCTGTTTGTTGCTGAGGAAGCCGGAGTGTCTAGAACTCTAGACCTGAGAAGGAATACAATACAAAAGAAGCAATTAAACATTAGAAGGAATAATTTTATATAGTAAAAAATCACATTACAAGGAATAATATTATGTGACAAAAACAACAACCAAGCTTTATTCCCAAAAGAGAATCATTTTATGTGAAATTAATTTATATTTTTTCCAGCAAAAAATTAAAAAGAAGATTTACCCTCAACGATGTTAACTATTCAAGCATAGGCAAACAGGTAAGAATCCGCAGTGCAAGCGCAGGAAATTATTTTGCTTTCACACTTTAAAGCATAGAATGACTATATACTAACAGAAGTTGTTAGCTGTGTAATATGAAGTTCAAAAAATTACACGAAGAGGAACAAAAGCAAGTATCTAAAGTCTCCAGTTCAAAAATCGACTCTTAACCAACTTTGAGCTTCCTGTCTTTCCAATGGTATCTCCATAAACAAACAGAAATGCAATTTACAATGTGCAATTAGGTGTCTGCTCAATCTTGAGTAGCATTATTAGTATCATAAAGAAGTTTACAACCACAAGCTTGCCAAATTAATGCAAATGGTATCTTAGGAATTTGATGTGCAACTTAGAATAGGGATTTGAGGTAAATAAGTTGGGCCATGAGTCCATGACTAGTGGCTGATCTATTGCCCCTATTTTGCGTGCATGAAATTATTTTAAATTGAAATGAAGAACAATACATCTATCTTTATCTAAAAGCAAAAGAAATTCAACGCACAGTACTCCTGCCCAATTGTGTCAACGTCAGTTATTAATGTTTTAATTGGTCAAGAATTATAACAGAGGATATGCATTGTAAAGGATGGGTCCGGGCCACACTTTAAATGTTGAGGAAAGTATTCCTATTGGCTGTAGCTGACGGTGGGTATAGTAAGAACAAAAATTAATGAGGCCTCATATTGGTCGAAGAGGTGGTGGTTACTGTTGCCAAAATTTGTGACATGATGCTTCCTTGCTTTCCATTGGTTGATGAGGGTGGTGTGAACAAGTGAGGGGATGGTACCTGCAACAAGTAGTACACAAACGTTCAAAGCGATCAAAGCTCTCATCTTCCTATGATTCAAGTCGAAGGTAAAAAAGAACCACATCCCCTCTTCCATTTAACGAAGCGATCAAAGCTCTCATCTTTGCATCCATGGAGGAAACAGAGACTCATAAAGCTATGCTCACAACAGAAAATTGGAAGAAAGAACAAATCTTCAACTCAAACAAAGTGCCACCCTTCCCCGCCCAGCATCCCTCTTTCGGTGTGGTTAAAGCAAATGAATCATCATTGAACACCAGCCCCACAAACTATATTGACACATTCTCAGAATTGGTGTAATCCCTTAATTTCAGAGCCTAGAGATTCTTCGTTTCAAACATTATTGGCATTATTATAATCAAATCAGAAGACAATGAACCAGAAATTGAACACATTTGCATCACTTCATTGTCTAGTTCCAATCCAACACAGTCCCTTCCTATTTCCTATGGGAATCCCAAAGCCAAGCCAAGTTATTAATCAAAACATACATCCAGTCCTGGGCTTCTTTTAGTATTACATCAATGCTGAGAAAATGATAGCAGCCGAACTCTGCTAAAGGTACATCAAAATATATAATTCCTCTAGAAATTTCTTAAAAGAGAAACTGATTGAGAAATAAAAAACAAAGTATTTCACATTCTAAACTTCTATTTTGTATGCACAAAATAAACATATAATTTCGAATGCAATGAATGAATAATAGTAGAAACTTTGAATGAAGCCATCAGTCACCAATGATTCTCCACATAAGCTTAAAGCTAATAATACGGTCCGCATCATGGTTCGATCTAAGAGATCGCATCACGCGGCTTGTCAATTTCAGCTAAAACTAAAGCAAAAAAGGCAGAATAAAATCAACAAAAGAAGAGCTCAGAGAATAGTATGGGTATGAGACAATTATCATCACTCTCTCCGAAGGAGGTCAGAGTGGTGCATGACAATCTCTGTATTTCATCATCGCTCTTCTTCGTCTAGTGAATATTCATTAATAATTACTACGTAATAATCAAACGAAAAATAGGGAGAAATGGATAATAAATAACGCTCAGAGATAATTTCCGCTATGATGATGAGGAATAGGTGAATGCTCAGAGAAGACTGCACATGATATATAGGAGCGGAAATTAGGTTTCTCCCAAACCCTAATCTTTGTGAAAATTTGAATAGATACAGGCCCGGGTTGAACAAAGGGGCCATACAGATCCTGGTCTTCTGGCCCGGTTGGTTCATTTAAATTCAACCCGACAAGGTGTAGATGTAGAATGAGTAGCAATCCCGGTGGAATATATATATATACATATATATATAGAGGAATGATCCTGTCCAGCCGGAGGGACAGGATCCTCCGTCCGGCCGCCACCGTTTGGGGCGGTTTCCGGTGGAGTTTTTTGATGAAATTTTTATGGAATGATCCTCATCAAGTCTAGTTTATCCACAAAAAATTTCAGCTAGAAATTCGATCGGGAAGGCAGTCAAATATTTTGTTGAAGATAACTGCTTCAAATTAAACATATAAAACGCATTTATGTTTCAAAAAATTATTTCACTGCCTTCCCGATCGAATTTTTAGCTGATATTTTTGTGGATTAAATAGACTTGATCGGGAACATTCCATAAAAATTTCATCAAAAAACTCCACCGGGAACCGCCCCAAACGGCAGTGGCCGGACGGAGGATCCTGTCCCTCCGACTGGAGGGGATCTTTTCTGTATATATATATATATACTAGCTTGGCACGCGCGTTGCGCGACGAGTGGTGCCCAATGCTGGGGGAAAATGTGCTGCATTGTTAGGGAAATCAAAAATAGGGTGAAACTTAGAGGAACAAAAAACATTGTCTAAAATTTGATAGATTTGTTAGGGATATTTGAGAAAAACCATTTAAACCATTTATTCATATAATGTAAAAACAAAGAAACCCAAACATATATAAGATCTAATACAAACATATGCGAAATCAAACATAAGAAATAAACTGTCATTAGAACTTTTCCTTTCCACTAGCATTCCGTCAAACTTTTCCTTCTTGAGTACTCTTTGAGCTAATTATGGGTATTTTATGGTACCTATAAATGTCTGGTGCATGTTTTCCATTATCTTCCTTCATGAGATTACTTCCAAGTTCCAAGTCATGGAATTAATGGGGTGGAAAACTCATACTCAATCTATTCACTTCTGAAAGTCTACAACCTATAAGGAGTCAAAATTTTGTTCATTGACCTACCTTTGGTAATGAATGAAAACTGTTGCTTGGGAAAAAAAAACCTAGAAAGCATACACATTGTTTCAGAATGTTTTTTCAAGAAAAGAAGCCATTCTACATACGGCAAAAAACCTAGAAAAGCATACACCTATTTCAAAAATCATAAAAGCAAAACGGAAAACCAGCTGTTTACAGTTTATATAGTTCAATTGGGTGTTTATTATGCTTACCCAATTATAGTCCTCAAGACAGCACTCTTCTTCGCAAACAAACACCCATTCCACAACCTTATCCAATATTCTTTTCTTTTCAGGGCCTCTTTTTTACATCACATAGTGTGATGTCAGGGGACTGACATAAATGCAGCTTGACTTGTTTTACCAATTAGTAAGAAATTTGGCTCAGAATATATAGAATACTCACAAATCCAGTGTGGAATGATATTCAAACAATACCCTCACGGTCATCGTAAACCTCGACAAACAAAGTGCTATATTGTAACATCTAACAAAGAAATGTAAATACCTGATTTATGCCTCAGTCTTGAATGTTGGCAACTTTTTTTATGCCACATAGCCCCCTCTTGATGTCCTCAGAAGTGGACCACCACGTTTATGAAGTGCACTGTATACACGAAAATAAGACCTACTTAACTCCTTCCACACTTTATATATATGGTAGATTTCTATATGGAAAACTTAGTGAACTCAAATTAGGAAGTGAGTAAGGGACACTTTACCTAATAGCAGATATACACATATCAGAATGTTTTGCAGCTTCTAATTTCATTTTGGAGTCGAATGACAGCCAACCATTTTAGTTCATAGGCCGAATGGCCCACATCTCTAACAACCTAACAACATCATGACCCCAAAACAAAAAGAAAGAATTATGGGAAACTCAACACTTCTCTTACTTTTAAAATAAGTAAGACTTTTTCAAAAAAGTTTATTTTGTATATTTTTTATAGAAATATATTAAACCTTTGAAAGAACAAAAAACTTTTTTTCATTCAAATAATTTATACCAAATTAACCCAAGAATTAGATGCAAGATGTTGTTCCCCACTGATATCCATGGCATCTACATTAAGTAATGAACACCGGATGGCTGGAAAGGTCACAACAAACTGCTCAAACAAGTAGAAGTACAAACACAAGTATTAAAAAACAAGTATAGATCTGTAGCCAAACTTATTGGGTTATAAATGTTTTTGCAACTTATGGGTGATCATCGAAATCATGATTTGGGTTATAAATACATAAATTAATCCATGAAAGAGAGCTTTTTTGGGTAAGCAAGTTGCAATGCACACAATCTATTATTAGAAATAATCTTATTACTGATTGCTTAGATAACCCTTAATCCACATAAAAGACTTTACAGTAAAATTAAACTTTCAGTATGCAAAGAAGTAATGCGTCAAGTGGAACTAAAATCTACCAGACCACCGCGTTGTTATTACACTGAAGCATTTAAATGTGTAAAATTGAGGGGTCAAGAGAAATTAAAAGCAGTAAAGTTGTTAGATTCATTCAAAATCAATTCAGGGGTCTGGTGTGAAAAAGTGAAACAAGACCGTGTTCTTGATATCAATTGATCATGGCCGCAGCAGAGTACATCGTAGCAGATGAGAACCATACCTAGACTTGATGGGGAACATGCTCAAAAAATTTCATCAAAAAATTTCACCGGGAAGGACCCCAAACGAGGATGTTCAGACGGAGGGTCCTGTCCGAACGTGGGGACCTGATCATT